AGCATTAGATTACTCCTCAGAAAAAAAAATAATTACTGTGTCTAAACTATCATTAAATTACCTCTTAGAAAATAACAATCACTGTGACAAAACTATCATTAGATTACTTGTTAAGAAATAACAATTACTATGTCAAAACTAGCATTATATTACTCTTCAGAAAAAAATATTTACTATGTCTAAACTAGCATTAAATTACCTCTCAGAAAAAAACAATTACTGTGCATAAACTATCATTAGATTACTTGTTAAGAAATAACAATTACTATGTCTAAACTATACTTAGATTACCCGTCCAAAAAAAAAAATTACTGTGTCTAAACTATCATTAAATTATCTCTCAGAAAATAACAATTACTGTGCCTAAACTATCATTAGATTACTTGTTTTAAAAAAAACAATTACAATGTCTAAATTATAATTAGATTACTCCTCAAGAAAAAATTAAAATTTACTGTGTCTAAACTACCTTTAAATTACATCTTAGAAAATAACAGTTACTGTGCCTAAACTATCATTAGATTACTTGTTAAGAAATAACAATTACTATGTCTAAACTAGCATTAGATTACCAGTCAAATATAACAATTTCTGTGTCTAAACTATCATTAAATTATCTCTGGGAAAATAACAATTACTGTACCTAAACTATCATTAGATTACCTGTTAAAAAATAACAATTACTGTGCCTAAACTAGCATTAGATTACCCCTCAGAAAAAAACTATTACTATGTCTAAACTGTCATTAGATTCTTCTTCTCCAGCATTCCCAGCCCTCGAGGTTCGCTGCTGCAGATATCATCCGCCTCCATTCATGTCTCTGGTTGGCCTTCTCTTTCCACTTGGTAACACCAAGTGTTTGCAGGTCTGTCTGGATATTATCTCTCCATCGTCTTCTTGGTCTGCCTCGTGGTCTACGACCATTCATCTCCCTGGTGTATACAGCTTTTACTTCTCTGTTACCTCACATTCTTTTAATATTCACCAACCATTTCAGTTTATTAAGCTCTCACGATGCCAGTGATCAGTGGGGATTTAAACAGATTATGAATTTCGTTGTTGCTTCTCACTCTCCATTCACCGCTGTGTGCATCTTTGGGGGAGCTGATAAAGATATAAAAATAATAATGCAAAAAGCAAGAGAAGCTTTCTTATCATTAAGGAATTTGTGGAGGACAAAAGAAATTAAAAGAAATACTAAACTTAAAATTTTTAATTATATTGTAAAATCAGTACTTTTGTATGAAGCGGAAACATGGAGAACAACCAAGGCAATTACTAATAAATTACAGACATTCATTAACTGGTGCCTGCGCAGAATAGAGGGAATAAAATGGTATGATACAATCACTGATGTAAAGCTTTGTGAGAGAACTAAACAAGCTCCAGGGGACCAACAGGTGAAGAAAGACGCCGGCGTTGGATAAGACACACACTGACAAAACCGGAGAACAATATAACTAGAATGTCTCTACACTGGAACCCACAGCAGCATAGGAATCAAGAAAGGCCAAAAAACACATGGAGAAGGGAGCTGGAGAATAAAGTTAGAAAGACGGGGAGGAAACAGGGACAGCTGCATGCGATGGCAAAAGATAGAACGACTTGGCGTGAGTTGGTTGAGGGCCTATGCTCCATTGAGGGCTAGAAAGAAGAAAAAGATATATACCACAAATGAAGGCAGAATGAAAACTAGATATTTGTTTACATTAAAAAACAAAATCTGACAAAGACATGATTATCATCAGATTGCATTAACATTTACACAGAATGGCTTCGGAGTTACAGATTTTTAAAGTTGGGCACAATTTTTGGAACAGACTACAAGTGACCTACAAACTCACATTTGACCTACCTGTGCAAATTTTATAAAGAACACCTGCTCATCCGTGTAGGGCACACCTGGAAACTCTTGCTCTTCTTGTTCTTGCCTCGCCACGTGTTTCTTGTATGCCTAAGGCAGAAAAATAAGGTGAAGTGTTCTGTTTCAATAAATAACAGGAAATAATGTATACTTTTAGATAAATAACATGAAATCAAGTTCTGTGTTTTTAGTATTAACAGGAAATAAATTTATGCGCTTCTATAAATAACATGAAATGAAGTTGTATGTTTCTAGAAATAACATGAAATGAAGTTGTATGTTTCTAGAAATAACATGAAATGAAGTTGTATGTTTCTAGAAATAACATGAAATGAAGTTGTATGTTTCTAGAAATAACATGAAATGAAGTTGTATGTTTCTAGAAATAACATGAAATGAAGTTGTATGTTTCTAGAAATAACAGGAAATGAAATTGTATGTTTCTAGAAATAACAGGAAATGAAGTTGTATGTTTCTAGAAATAACATGAAATGAAGTTGTATGTTTCTAGAAATAACATGAAATGAAGTTATGCGTTTCGAGACATAACATGAAATGAAGTTATTTATTTCGGTGGTTTGGGGGGGGGGGGGGGGAGCACACAAAATCAAGTTATATGTTTCTATAAATAACATGAAATAAAGGTATATGTTTGGAGTGAGAGAAAAAAAAAACCACACACATGAAATAGGTTATATGTTTCTAGAAATAAAACGAAATTAAGTTATTTGTTTCTAGGAATAAAACGAAATTAAGTTATGTTTCTAGAAATAAAACGAAAACTAGAAATAAAACGAAAATCGTTATATGTTTCTGGAAATAACCTGAAGTGAAGTTATATGTTTATGTACATAACATGAAGCTAAGTTGTGTGTGTGTTTTTTTTTTTAAATGCACGAAGTTATAATAGAAAGGTCGCTTTTCCATGTCTTTGGCATTTTGGGTATATAGGGCTAGACCTATATTTTAGGGACTTATAGACAATCGCTGGGCAATGTGGTTAAAAGCAAACAGATCGCATTTACTTCCCACGACTTTACCAGGTACCATTTTTGGTTGGGTCGACCTGGGAGCCAAAACCCCTTTTTTGAAAATAACATCCGTTGAGATTTCAACTTAGAACGTTCGGATCCACAGGTGAGTGTCTACCTCTACACCATGACGTTTTCTGTATGAACAGTGTTAGATTAAGGCATAACTAAATGCATCACAATCTGAAGGGGCTTCAACAAATTCCAGTCTGTTTTTTCTTGCACAAAAGCAATTTTCGTTTAATATATTAGCCTTGCTATTTTGTTTTAATAGAGCCAATAAGAGGATTATATAATATTATTTTTGTGATTTTGCAAACATACGCTTTATTGTTATTTTTTTCTTAGTACTGAAAAGAAAAGGCTAATTTTTATATATATATATAAGCCCGGCTCGCTAGCGTAGTTGGCTAAACCAGATTACGCGGTGACCGGGTGACGAACTCCTTGTGGTCCGGGTTCACGCCCAGGGGTAGGCAGAAAAGCCACATTTCTTCCAGATTTACGGTATCTATCATGGAATCAAAACCGAAGGTTTGCGATATCCATAGTACCGAGCCAAAGGGTTATCAACTAATGGCCTCTGGATACTAATATATATATATATATATATATATATATATATATATATATATATATATATATATATATATATATATATATATATATATATATATATATATATATATATGATTATGTTGATGATAATGATGATGTTGATGATAATGTTGATAATGATGATGATGATGTTGATGTTGAGAATGATGATAATGCTGATGTTGATGTTAATGATGATGATGGTGATGATGATGATACTGATGACGATGACAATATTGCTGCTGCTGATGATGATGATGTTGACGACAACGACGATGTTGATGATGATGGTACTGATGATGATGACAATGTTGCTGACGACGACGATGATAATGATGATGATAGCGATGATGAGGAGGAGGATGTTGATGATGACGACGATGATAGCAATGCCTCACAACATCAAAGAGAACACACAGAGAGACAAACCCTGTAGGCCAACTTGATTCCAGCATTGTCAGCGATGTTCTCACCCAGTGTCAGATCTCCATCCACCTGGAAAGGGGGGGGGGGGGGTGTTGGGGGGGGGGGGGGTGATGAGATACCTGTCTATTATCGTCGTAGTATCTTCTTGTACTCAGACAGACAGACAGGCAGACCAACAGGCAAAGCAGACGTACATATAGACATACCCACAGACAGGCATGACATCAGCCGACAAAGGGAGTAATTAGATATACCAGCAAATAGGATTGACAGAAGAGAGGATTGACTGAAAGGAGGGGACAGGCAAGTAGACAGACAGACAGATAGGTGGATAGACAGACATATGTATCTGCAGACAGGCAGGTAGACAGACTGACAGACATGCCTGCAGACAAAAAATCCTGCTAACATACAAGCAGATAAACAGACATATATATATATATATATATATATATATATATATATATATATATATATATATATATATATATATATATATATATATATATATACCTGCATACAGGCAGGTACAAAATCACTCGACGAAACCTAAAATTATGTACATCGTAGGTCGAGGATGAAGCAGAGAGTAGAGCTAGAGTTTGGTAGATAGACTGACAGGTAGCCAGACAGACCAGAATCAAAGCAACAATCAAAGGCAGAGAGAGGTTAATAGAAAAACAGGGTGAAAGCAGAATGCATAAACGTGAGTGGATATGTAAACAGACCGAACAGACAGGCAGACAGGCAAACAGCAATATGTAAACACACAGGTATATGACAGGTAGAAGGCATTGTAATGTTGTTCTCTTATTGCACTGAGGCACTATGATATCTTTGCACTATGCCACAACGAAATTCTTGTATTGTGACACTATGATATCCTTGTATTGTGACACTATGATATCTTTGTATTGTGATACTATGATATCCTTGTATTGTGACACTATGATATCCTTGTATTGTGACAGTACGATATCTTTGTATTGTGACACTATGATATCCTTGTATTGTGACACTATAATATCCTTGTAATGTGACACTATGATATCCTTACAGTGGGACACTAAGATAACCTTGCATTGTGACACTATGATATCCTTGTATTGAGACACTATGATATCCTTACAGTGGGACACTAAGATAACCTTGCATTGTGACACTATGATATCCTTGTATTGAGACACTATGATATCCTTGTATTGTAACACTATGATATCCTTACAGTGGGACACTAAGATAACATTGCATTGTGACACTATGATATCCTTGTATTGAGACACTATGATATCCTTACAGTGGGACACTAAGATAACCTTGCATTGTGACACTATGATATCCTTGTATTGAGACACTATGATATCCTTGTATTGTAACACTATGATATCCTTACAGTGGGACACTAAGATAACATTGCATTGTGACACTATGATATCCTTGTATTGTGACACTATGATATCCTTGTATTGTGACACTATGATATCCTTGTATTGTGACAGTACGATATCTTTGTATTGTGACACTATGATATCCTTGTATTGTGACACTATAATATCCTTGTAATGTGACACTATGATATCCTTACAGTGGGACACTAAGATAACCTTGCATTGTGACACTATGATATCCTTGTATTGAGACACTATGATATCCTTGTATTGTGACACAATGATATTCTTGTATGGTGACACTATGGTATCCATGAATTATGACACTATGATATTCTTGTATTGTGACACTATGATATCCTTGTATTGTTACACTATGATATCCTTACAGTGGGACACTATGATAGCCTTGCATTGTGACACTATGATATCCGTGCATTGTAACACTATGATATCCTTGTATGGCGCCACTACAATTTTATATAATTGTATTCCAACACTATAATAGCGTTGGATTGTGTTAGTATTCTTTGACTGCATTGTGACATTATGATGTAACTCCATTGTGACATTATGATGTAACTCCATTGTGACATTATGATGTAACTCCATTGTGACACACTTATATCAATGCATTGTAACTATTTTACACCGTTGCATTTTGGCATTATTATATCGTATAACGGCGCTGGGACACGATTACATCATTGCACTGTGACTTTATTATATCATTGCGATGTTATACTATTTAACAGTGCACTGTGACACTGTGACGTCATTGCGCTGTGACACTATTATATAATTGCTCTGTGATACTATTATATCATTGCAATGTGGCATTATTATATCATTGCACTATGGTACCATTATATCATTGCACTATGCTACTATTATATAATTGCACTATGGCACTATTATATAATTGCACCGTGGCACTATTATATTATCGCACTGTGGCACTATTATATCATTGCACTATGGCACTATTATATCATTGCACTGCGACTGTTCGATCATTCTGAACTACGAAAGCACATGCTTACCTGTCGAGAAGGAAGAAGACGATAAACGGAGGATCAAGAGTTGGAGAATGTGGATTATAAAGAGAGGGAGGAGGATGTAAAGGAGTAGGAAAAGGTGGAGGATGAGAAGAATAAGAATAAGGGGGAAAAAAGAAGAAGAAAGCTGCAACAAGGAGAAGCAATCAGACAGCACCACTCACATATGCGCGGGCTGGCTTGTAGAAATAATGATTGTATTGTTCCACCAGGCACTGGGCTCGTTCTTGGAACACTTGTAGAATTTCGTTGTTCCACCACTCGCCCGGGACGCCTTCTTTGCTATATTTAATCCCTGTTCGTATATATATATATATATATATATATATATATATATATATATATATATATAATATATATATATATATATATATATATATAATATGTGTGTGTGTACATCAGAGACAGACGGACAAACAGCAGGTAGATAGGCAAGCAGGCAGATTAGATAGATAGATTAGATAGAACGAACGAACGAACTTTATTTCCAAAGGGTGACAACATACACTTACATACACGCATACACACATACACACATACATACAAACAAACATGCATACACACATACACACAGGCATATATACACACAAACATACATACAAAGATACAAACATACAGGCATACATACATACATTCATACATACATAATACAGGCATACACACATACAAACATACAGTCATAAATAAATACAGATAGATAGATAGATAGACAGACAGACAGACAGACAGACAGACAGACAGACAGACAGACAGACAGACAGACAGACAGACAGACAGACAGACAGACAGACAGACAGACAGACAGACAGACAGACAGACAGACAGACAGACAGACAGACAGACAGACAGACAGACAGACAGACAGACAGACAGACAGACAGACAGACAGACAGACAGACAGACAGACAGACAGACAGACAGACAGACAGACAGACAGACAGACAGACAGACAGACAGACAGACAGACAGACAGACAGACAGACAGACAGACAGACAGACAGACAGACAGACAGACAGACAGACAGACAGACAGACAGACAGACAGACAGACAGACAGACAGACAGACAGACAGACAGACAGACAGACAGACAGACAGACAGACAGACAGACAGACAGACAGACAGACAGACAGACAGACAGACAGACAGACAGACAGACAGACAGACAGACAGACAGACAGACAGACAGACAGACAGACAGACAGACAGACAGACAGACAGACAGACAGACAGACAGACAGACAGACAGACAGACAGACAGACAGACAGACAGACAGACAGACAGACAGACAGACAGACAGACAGACAGACAGACAGACAGACAGACAGACAGACAGACAGACAGACAGACAGACACAGACAGACAGACAGACAGACAGACAGACAGACAGACAGACAGACAGACAGACAGACAGACAGACAGACAGACAGACAGACAGACAGACAGACAGATAGATAGATAGATAGATAGATAGATAGATAGATAGATAGATAGATAGATATATAGATAGATAGATAGATAGATAGATAGATAGATAGATAGATAGATAGATAGATAGATAGATAGATAGATAGATAGATAGATAGATAGATAGATAGATAGATAGATAGATAGATAGATAGATAGATAGATAGATAGATAGATAGATAGATAGATAGATAGATAGATAGATAGATAGATAGATAGATAGATAGATAGATAGATAGATAGATAGATAGATAGATAGATAGATAGATAGATAGATAGATAGATAGATAGATAGATAGATAGATAGATAGATAGATAGATAGATAGATAGATAGATAGATAGATAGATAGATAGATAGATAGATAGATAGATAGATAGATAGATAGATAGATAGATAGATAGATAGATAGATAGATAGATAGATAGATAGATAGATAGATAGATAGATAGATAGATAGATAAACAGACGGATGGACGGACATACAGACAGACAGACACATCATTGAGCCCCGGTTAGCCTGTACAAACTAGAGACTAGCAAACATCCACCTAATAACCCAAATGCCCAGACCTGGACCGTGTGGTTTTACTTCTGGTGTTCCATATTGACTCTCCATAAGTTTTTGAGGTTTTGAACACCGGATCAACATCATGGCACACGGGTGTAACCCATAAGTGCTACGTTATTCTTCGAACTCAAGTCTCAGTCCGAGGAAGCTCAGCACAGTGCACAGGCTCTGTAGTACCGGCGAGGATCCTGAAATACTTTGGGTACTTTAAAACCCACTGTCTCCCTAATAAGCATGTCGTAAAAGGCGACAAAATAAGGACTTCTTTCAAAGTCAGCCTGAGAAGCGAGGAACCAACAGACTGCATATAAATAAGCAATATCTGTAATATGGGTGCGCACGCAAAAGAGGTCCTGGAACAAAGCCGAAGTCCAGAAATAGGCGGACAAGCAGGTCTTTCCGCCAGGGTGTACAGTCGGTCGGTAAACGCAAACAGCAACAAAAACACATATGAGAATGATGTGTATATTCAGCTCTAGTGTATGGGGCAGAAACCTGGACAATGAACAATCGAATACAAAATCAAATTAGGTTTCTGGATATGTGGATGAACAGTAGAATGAGTCGTATTTCACTAATATAAAACATTCATTCACAAAGGTTCTGAAGACATAAGGAAATAAAATAGAGTAGAAATAAACAAATAAATAAATAATAACAAAATGAAAAAGAATTTTGGTCACTTTGAAAGACATAACACCACTGCTTTTCCCCCCTACATAAAAAAAAGCTCTCGGTACACACAACAAAGTGTCCAAAATAGTGCGGGTACTCGCCCCAAAGTGTCCAAAATAGTGCGGGTACTCGCCCCAAAAGTGTCCAAAATAGTGCGGGTACTCGCCCCAAAGTGTCCAAAAAAGTGCCAGTACCCACCCCCAAAGTGTCTAAAATAGTGCGGGTACTCGCCCCAAAGTGTCCAAAAAAGTGCCAGTACCCACCCTTAAAGTGTCCAAAATAGTGCCGGTACTCACCCAAAGTGTCAAAAATAGTGACGTACTCACAACTAAGTGTCAAAAATAGTGACGTACTCACAACAAAGTGTCAAAAATAGTGACGTACTCACAACTAAGTGTCAAAAATAGTGACGTACTCACAACAAAGTGTCAAAAATAGTGACGTACTCACAACTAAGTGTCAAAAATAGTGACGTACTCACAACAAAGTGTCAAAAATAGTGACGTACTCACAACTAAGTGTCAAAAATAGTGACGTACTCACAACAAAGTGTCAAAAATAGTGACGTAATCACAACAAAGTGTCAAAAATAGTGCCGTACTCACAACAAAGTGTCCAAAATAGTGCCGAACTCACAACAAAGTGTCCAAAATAGTGCCGTACTCACAACAAAGTGTCCAAAATAGTGCCGTACTCACAGCAAAGTGCCCAAAAATAGTACCGGTACTCACAACAAAGTGTCCACTAAAGTAGCGCTGAAAAATGATGTCTTAAAAGGTATCAGTACTGCGCACCGCCAGAGAAACAGCCGTACAGACTATTTGTATAAAAAAGTCAGTACTGGAGAGGAAAAGTCGATTATAAAAGAGCAATGGGTAAACATCGATACACATGGGATGGAAGTGCAGCGAAAGATAAGCTGGGAACTTTCTTCGAAGTCGGAGTGCATCTGCGCGAGCGACAAGGAACAACCAACTGCGCACAAATAAGCCGGTAAAACGGGCGCACACGCAAATATCAGGCCGTGGAACAAAGTCAAAGTTCAAATGGACGAACAAAAAAGACTTTCCGCTGAAGCATCTAGCCAGTAAACAAAGAAGAGGACAAAAAATAACATGTTCTTTACTGAATGTAGGTATCTTCACGACATGCCTGAGAGTCTCTCTAGCCAATTCCCCCAGCCTAATGTGCTTTCATAGTCGATGAATCTTTCAATGTCTTTTATTCGCAGAGTTGTACTTCTGTCTCGTTTCCCGGTAACTGAAAAAAAAAACCACCCCTCCCCCTTTCCGCTCATTGTTCTCTCTAGGCCACTGTGACATTTAGCCTGACCAAAAGACCTCAGCTTTCTGGGCAGGATGCTGTTTATGAGCCAATTCTCCTCGATGAGATCATTGAGATAACCACTTACCTGTGTTATCAAAGGCGTGGACGATTTCATGGCCAAAGACCAAGCCACTCCCAGCGTAGTTCACGCTCCTAAAAGAGAACCATTTCACAGACGTTTACATTTGTCATATAATGTGTATATGTTGAAGCTAGCGAAAGTAGATCTCTATAAACAGCAATGAGAAAGAGACAAACACTGTTATATTGCCACGTAATGAGAAGAGAGACACTGGAGAACATCGTGACAACTGGAAAGATCAGTGGAAACATGAGTACAGGCAGACTAAGAGAGAGTGAGGCTGGGTGGGCTGAAACGATGGCATGGAGGGACATCATCAAGAGAGCTGTTCCAGGCAACCGGAATATCGTGATTAGTGGAGACGCATGAGCGCCTACGCCAGTTGGCAGGGCAGGTTAGTCTGGAAGCCGCCGTGGTGTAGCAGCCAAACGCTCATCTGAGAATCTGAAGGACATGGATTCAGGTCCAAACAGAGCCGCACTTCCTTACACACACACACACACACACACAAATGACCTTTCCTCCCAGGTCGACCACGCTTTAAATGGGTACCAGGTGTAGTCAAAGGAAGTAGAGGCGGCCTCGTTAATGGGGATTCGAACAAACGGATACTTTCATGTAAGTTATACTTCCCCTCGACATGAAACCAGAGGACCAAGACGAGATGATGATGAGATCAAAGTTCTAGATCCAGGGCATTAATTTATCTGTGCATTTTGCCACAAAAACTTTGTGAGAAACAGATCGAAAAAGAAACATGTTACAACAGTGTTGAAATGAACAGACATTAAATTATGATAAAATATCAGGCAAGCCATAACACACACACTCACATACACTCACACACATACACTCACACACGCTCACGCACACACACACGCCCACACGCACACGGACAAACACACACATATATATATATATATATATATATATATATATATATATATATATATACAAGTTAAGTTAAGGTCCCTTTTCCACGTCTTTAGGCGTATAGGGCATATAGGGCTAGACCTATTTTTAGACCAATAGGCACAAGATGGGTAATGAGGTTAGCATCACGCCGGCCGCCTTTTATTCCCGGAACTGCACCCGGTACCCACGACCTGGGTGTCAAGGTTATTTTTGAAAAAGTCCGGCTCCGCCAGGGAGCGAACCCACGACCTTCCGATCCGTGGCGCGCGTCTAGCTGCTCTGCTACAGGGACTCTCAGTATATATATATATATATATATATATATATATATATATATATATATATATATATATATATATATATATATATATATATGAGTGCGTGTGTATTTCAAGATGTTTTTATTTTAATGGTGTTTAATTACAAATTTGGTACCTTCTGGTGTGTTATGGTACCGTTTCAACTACACCATCCACGATGAGACGATTGGTATATAAACTATAGGTCTAGCCCTACATGCCCAGTGCGCATAAAGGTGTGGAAAAGGGTCATTTGATTTACGATTGTAAGTTGCCTGGTGCCGAGAGAGTTCAACGAAATGTTTCCCCGTGCTGAATTTAAACAACGCAGACACAAACAATTGATTGCACAATTTACTGCCAAACCTATTTCCCTGTATCTCGTCAGGTGTGTTACATACAGAGTTAAATCAACATATAACGAACCACACCAGCAAAATGAATTATATTGAAAACACATCACACTGTCTCTCTTAATGCATTGTTTGTCTGATTGTTGGAAATTCCCTATAGTCACGTGATTTATCACAATGCTTCGGAAAATACCGCAAATGGAATGGTTTGTCCATCTAGAGCAGTGCCCTTCAACCTTCCTAAGGTCTCGACTCTTTAATAAAGTTCCGTCACGTTGTAGCGACCCCCGAACAATTATTTTCCTTCATAACTCTAATGAATATGTGTTTTCCGATAGTCTTAGGCGACCCCTGTGAAAGGGTCGTTCGACCCACACAAAAAAGGGCCGCGACCGGCAGGTTGACAACCGCTGACTTGAAGAGAATGATTTGCAACGCCATACCATACAAAAAAAGTAAAGATCCCTTATTACGCCTAAGGCGCATCAGGTATATGGGCAGAGCGTCCCATATTTTTACAGACCAATCGGCATTCGGTGGGTAATGTGGTCAGCATTACGCCGGCCGTCTTTACTTTCCCAGGACAGCTATCCTGGTACCCATTTGAGGCTGGGTCGACCTGCGACGTCCCATACCACGATAAAAATCCACACAGCCCGCAGTGGGTTTCGATCACGGTAAGTTGGATTACGAGTCGGACTTGCAACGCCTTAGCAACGGACGCCGCTACCCATACCATAAAAGACATATAGTAAAGGAGAAGAGGGACATATATCAAGAGGTAGACCAAGAACAATATGGAAAGATACCATCAGAGAAACTCTACAACAGCACGATGTGATATTATCGAGGTGACCAGAAGAGCAGGATGCGGAATCTTTTCTCTTCCTTAACAACAGAAGCGGTAAAAGAGGAAATGTAAAAAAAGAATGGCTTAAAGAAAAGTAACGGTGGTTATAGTTCTATGCAGAACAGGAAGGGGACAACCAATAGGACGGTGGAGAAGGATACTAAGGACACCCTGAAGATGATATTTCATAAAATGGGAAAGTTGAAAAAGAGCAACGTCCTCATAACTCATGTTATATGATGGTGAGAGCTTGTGGGTACTCGCTACAACTACTAAAGTAGCCCTCTAAAAAGTGCCGGTACTGAATACCAGAAAAAAATGATGACGATGATGAATGATGATGATGAGGATGAATGATAAGGACGACGGTGATGATGATGATGAAAATAATTATGATGATAGATGATGATGATGATAAATGATAAAGAAATTTGATGATGATGAGGATGATGAGGATGATGATGATGAATGATGGTGAATGATGATCATGATGATTACTGATGATAATGATGAATAATGACGATGATGATAACGACAATTATGATGATAATGAAGATAAAGATGATGTAGACGACAACGATGATGATGATGACGACGATAACGATGATGATGATGATGGTGGTGGTGACTGACAAGGCAATATGCCCGACTGGAAGGCAACAAATACGATAGTGATCGAAACTATACTTACATTGGAACATTGTTGGTGAACAAAGGCGGCTCAAACATCGGTGAAGAAAACTCTGCAACAATTACAAACAATAATTTTAACTAGGAATATGATCCCAACCTGAAGCTTGGTCAGCGGTTCATTGTTCATTTAAAGATCATCATTATCGCACATCTGACATGGCCATAAGTGCTCCGATCTCCTCCTATTTCTCCAAGTGTTTTTAGGCTGACAACTCCCATTCTGTTCTGGCTGGCGTATCAACGGGTAGCTTCCGCGTGGTTTTCCTGTCTCGCCGTTCCAACTGGTACACCCAGGGTATGCATATTATTCAGTGGAAAATCATTTTCCAGGATACTGAAAGACTCACAGTGTTTGGTCTCTCTCATGGCATTGATGATGTCTCTCCTGCCCATAGAGGGCCCATCCCTGATAGTCGCACAGCCAGCCAGTGTGTCTACTCTCTCATTGCCTTTATGACTGTTTGGACGAGTTTTGCATTATTTATTTTATGTAGTTTAGTTAACTTTACCCTCAACTCACTTGACCTAGAAAGTTTGCTCCGGTATCTATGTTAAATCTAGGCGTACGTTGAGAATGTCCTGCAGCCTTGTCAATAGCATTGTCTTCTGAATACACCTGCATCCAGAACTCTTCTTGGCTTTCTTCGTGGTATATCTGTTTTAAACTGCTGTCTTCGCTGATCTCAAGCAGATTTGGAAAAATTCTTGCTTATTGCCGTGGCATCTCTGACATTCGCTCGCGACTGTAACTTGATCTGACCTCATCTTACAAATCTTTAAATGAACCACCCCACACTTAGTGTTTTGTGATAAGTTATCGCCGATAACTGACTTACCCAGTTGATTCTCCAGAAAGAAATTCTGCGCCACCAATTCGTGTGGTAGATTATCCACATTTCGTCTGCAACAAAAGGGAAATGAACAGACCATAGTTAGCAAGTTATTAGCTAGTTAGTGAGTTATCTAGTTAGTTAGTGAGTTATCTAGTTAGTTAGTGAGTTATCTAGTTAGATAGTGAGTTACCTAGTTAGTTAGTTATTAGCTAGTTAGTGAGTTTTCTAGTTAGTTAGTGAGGTATCTAGCTAGTAAGTTATCGAGTTAAGTATTGCGTTATCTAGTTAGTAGGTTAAATACTTAGTTAATGAGTTATTTAGTTAGCTAATGAGGTAACTAGTTAGTTAGTGAATTATCTAGTTAGTTAGCGAGCTGTCTAGCTAGTGAGTGAGTTGCCTATTTAGTTAGTGAATTGCCTAGTAAGTTAGTGAGTTATCTAGTTAGTTGGTGAGTTCTGTAGGTTACAAGTGAGTTATCTAGTTTTGTAGTAAGTTATCTAGTTAAGTATTAGGTTATCTAGTTAGTAAGGTTTCTAGTTAGTTAATGAGTTAACTATTTAGTTAGTGAGTTATCTGGTTAGTGAGTTACCTAGTTAGTTATTTAGTTATCAGTTAGTGAGTTTTCTAGTTAGTTAGTGAGTTGCCTAGTTAGTCAGGGAACCATCTAGTTAGTTAGTGAGCTATCTAGTTAGTTAGTGAGTTATCTAGTTAGTGAGTTATCTAGTTAAGTTTCGAGTTATCCAGTTAGCTAGTGAGTTGCCTAGTTAGTTAGTGAGTTATTTAGTTAGTTAGTGCGTTATCTAGTTTGTTAGTGAGTTATCTAGTTAGTTAGGGAGTTATCAAGTAAGTAAGTGAGTTATCTAGTTAGTTAGTGAGTTTTCTGGTTAGTTAGTGGGTTATCTAGTTAGTTAGTGAGTTATGAAGTTAGTGAGTTATCTAGCTAGTTTGTGAGTTTTCGTGTTAGTTAGTGGGTTATCTAGTTAGTTAGTTAGTGAGTTATCAAGTTAGTTAGTGAGTTATCTAATTAGTGGTGAGTTTTCGCGTTAGTTAGTGGGTTATCTAGTTAGTTAGTGAGTTATCAAGTTAGTTAGTCAGTTATCTAGTTAGCTGGTGAGTTTTCTTGTTAGT